TCAGGAACACCTGGGAGAGGGGGAATTTGGGAATATCCACCCAAATCTCAATGAGAATCCACCCAGAATCCACAGGGGAATGGGATAAACCACCCAAAGTCAGGAGGGGAGTGGGATAATCCACCCGAAATCCAGAGGAGAGAGGGATAATCCACCCAAAATCCAGAGGAGGGGGTAAGATCAGCCAATCCAGAGGAAAAGTGGGAAAATCACCCAAAATCCAGTAATCCAACTGGAATCCAAAGGGGAGGGGAGCAACATCCAGCAGAAAAGTGGGAAAACAAGCCAAAATTCGGAAGGGAAGGGGGAAAAATGACCCCAAATCCGAAAGGGAAGAGGGATCCCATCCCAAAATCCCGAGGGAATGCCACACTCACCTCATCAAAGCCCATCTTGTCGGGGACCTTGGGGGGCACCCACACGTGGGGGGAGGGCTCGGCCGGAGGGAGCTTCACTGGGAACGGGAGAATCCCACTGGGAATCAACCCTGGAGCCTGGAGGGGACATTCCCAATCCCAAATATCCCCATCCCACCAGGAATCAACCCCTGAGCCTGGGTGGGACATTCCCAATGCCCAATTTCCCATCCCAGGAGTCTGGAAGTGACTCTGTGGGGTCCCCCCATTCCACGCCAGGCTCCCAAGGCCCCGGATCCGTGTGGATCCCGCCCCTCACCCATGATCTCCAGCTGGACGTGCAGGAAGTTGTCGGCCTCGTCCCGCAGGGAGCTGTGGGAGCGCAGCGGGACCGGCAGGAACCCGAACACCTCCCGGTTACTGACGAACATCTGCACCCCTGGAATGGGATCGGGATCGGGAATGGGATTGGGATGGGCTCAGGAACCCAACAAACACCTCCCAGTTACTGACGAACATCTGCACCCCTGGAATGGGATCGGGAATGGGATTGGTATGTGCTCAGGAACCCAACAAACACCTCCCGGTTACTGACAAACATCTGCACCCCTGGATTGGGATTGGGAATGGGGAGGCACCCCAGGAATGGGGATGGGATCGGGGGGTGTCACTCCTGGAATGGGATCAGGAGGCAGATGGGGGTTACCCCTGGAATGGGAATCAGGGGCTCGCACCGGGAACGGGGATGGGAACAGGAATAGGGGGGCACCCAAAGCCAAAGCCGAGCCCAGCCTCGAGCTGCGCTCAAGGGACTGAAGTCCAGCACAGCCTGATGTCGAGTCCAGCCCAAACCCACCCAAATTCAACCCAAATCCCACCCCAAACCCCACCCAAAGCCCGTCCCTGACCCGCGTGCCGGCAGGCGAAGGAGAACACGATGATGTCGTCGAAGGCGCCGCCGTAGCCGGGGGGGGGTGGGTGGAAGGCGAGAGCCCCCGAGCGCTCCCGGCGCAGATCCAGCAGGAACGTCGAGTGCACCATCGGCACCGCGAAGCAGCCGCGGCGCTCCCGCCGCCGCAGGGGCAGGTACGCGGGGGTGCGGCGGTAATAGCCCTGGGAATGGGAA